AACGTCTCACGTGCTCAACAATACGTCTCTCTCTGTCCGCACTTCAATTACACATTACATTGATGCCGTCACGTCTTGACCGTCTTATATATACAAGACTACCGCATATCTAGTAGCCTCTCGAGCATTCAGGAAGGGACGTGAATGTTCGAGAAGTGCATGACGTGTTACTGGGGTCACGTGACCTCCGCTGTTGTAACATTACTTTATTGTTCTTAAGGTAAAGAAAGGAATTTACAATGATTCCGGGTGTGAGTTACTAAAACGGTTTTAAGAACTTATAGATAATAATCATGCAAATTTTATGCATAATGAGTAATTTGTTAATTGTTTTTTCTTATGTATTTTGGCTCCAGAACTAACGTTTTGTTTGTCTTTGGCTGATTCATCTACTTTCTTACAAGTCACCTTAACGTCACTATTTCAATATTTGAACGTTTACCTCCTTTCTTAAAAATCCCACAATTTCTATCAATGTTGGTGCCCAGTTTATATTTAGGACTATTCCATATATATTTTAACACACCCCAAATATATAGAACATTTATATAGATACTTACTTTGGGCGTATTGATTTATTTATACGCGAGTTCGTGTGATCGGTCTTTCAGAACCGTAAACACGTTGGTAACCACAAACCACTGTTATGCCTGACATGGCTTGACTATTTATGATGTTAGAAGAACACTGTTTGTTTAGGAAATCATAAGAAAAAGTTACTTCTAATTCTTTATGTCCTTAAAAACACTTAATAATCACAGAATAATTAAATTTGTATCAGCCCTTGAACACTACGACCTTGTTAGGCTTGGGTGCACCTCTTGCTGCTAACTTTTCTTAAATGATTTTCATTGGTTCTTTATAAACCTAGCTCTGATTGGCTCTAATAGCTGGACGGCCGGCCTCAAAATCCTTTTTAAACAGGGTAAGAAGCGTCATCTCCACTCGGCTGTTTCCGTCACAAGTAGTGGCGAATTGTGTGGAACATTTGTGTCATATAGAGAAGTCACACTTCGTTATATAAAGGTTAAAGTGCCTAAGTTCTCTTATTTCAGACGTAATTGCTTCGTTGTTTCTTAACCATAATTCTTCTGTTAGTCTATTGTGTTGTTTATTGCTTAGGTTCTAAGTTGGCACAATGTTCGGGACAGTAACGATCGCCCTTTTCTCAATACTCTTCACAATCTGGATCCTGTAAGTATATTTAATGCAATATTTTAATGACATTTGCAAAACAGAATCCTTGAAACATTAAAATATATGTCCACATAGGATCACATATACTAACAGAAAAATGCGGAAACGGTTTAATGTGTTCTATTTGTAAATAATCATGTTTTATTCTGTGCTCTTTCTCACAAAATATGAAATATTGTACTATAAATTCTAATGATAAACTGAACATAACAACCTTGAAGCTGAATAAAATCTTAGTATAAATTTTGTTAATAAGTGAGAATGGAACGGGATGTCCTAAATATGTATACGACGTGAAGGAGCGGTTTGTTTGTCTCAAACATTTAATAATATATCTATATTATGTTTTAAGGTTTAAATTGATATGAAAGAAAAATGGAAACTTTATATTAATGTTTTATTTAATTCGTACCCATTGTTTACACATTAAACATAATATTGTTACAACAGCGGAAGTCACGTGATGCTGCTGGCGCATTGGCGCTGGTGACGTGTGCGTGGAGTTTCTGGAATGATCGTGAATTTCCTAGTTTCTTCGGGACGCCCTCTTTTTTAGTATATAAGCCCGGCAAATAAGGAATAGAGAAGCATGTAGATTGAAGATAGAGATAATTGAGTCAAGTGAACATTAGGCACGTAAGTAAAGTGTGTGAATCACTGTGATTTATAGCGTGTGTTGTAAAGGTTGTTAAGTTTAAAGTGACTGTGGAAATTCTGTGTATTACAAAGTTGTATCGAGAAAGAATAAACTAGTTTTAATTAAGAAATAACTGGTATCGCTGAAGTTTCTCGGAAAGAATTTATACCGGAACTACTCAACACTTCAATAGTGCAGATAGTTCCTGTGTAGTTTTGTGCGAATATCTGAAATAAAACAGTTTTCCCACTCCCACTACTTCCTTCTATGTAAAATGAATGAAAGTAGAAAATCACTGGTCGCAGGATATTGTTAACTTCTACATGTATATTTAGGGTGAAGGATGTTGTTAACTTCTACATGTATAGTTTGAGTGAAGGATGCTGTTAACTTATATGAATACTTCGGGTGGAGGGTGTTGTTAATTTCAATATGTATACTTTAGGGCAAGGGTGCTGTTTACTTCAACATGTATATTTTAGGTGATGGGTGGTGTTAGCTTCTACATGTAAACTGTAGGCGAAGGGTGCTTCTAACCCGAAAATATATATTCTGGGTGAAGGGTGAACTTCCGCATGTTTATTTTAATTGAGGGCTTATTTTCTCAGTTCATTACAATTATATTTTTTTTCCTAATTTAACACCGTTCAGAATGATAATGCATAAAACTGTTTTATTTTCTAAACATCAGAAGAAGGAGGAAGCATTTCAGCAGTTTTTTGAAGCTGGGAATTCCAGGACCGAAACCTAATTTGTTGTTTGGTAACATGTGGGAAATGTACTGGAAGGTATGATTTGTTGTTCTTTACTTAAAATAAAATTCAAATGTTTAAACTGATACTTTTCGTTTCTCTGAATCTCACCTTGAAAACATTACAGTCTTGTTCTTCTCTTCTTTTTTGGATAAGCTTATAATGATCTTTATTTAAATATTTAATGCATTAATCTATGCTTGTGGATTTTAAACATAAAATTCATTTCTTTTATCAATATTAAACATAAAATTCGTTTTAGTAATAACTGTTGTAGGGGAAGTCACGCGACGCTGGGAGCATGCGCGCTGGAGTTTCTAGAAGAATCGTGACTTAGCGGGCAACCTCAGGAATGTCCTAGCGTTTGCTAGACGCCCTCTTTTTTAGTATATAAGCCGGAGATAGATCG